CGTCGGGCCAGGCCGGGTGACAGGACCGCTTTGGGGAACAGAGCTCCAGGTACACACCCAGCGAGCCCGCCAAAGTGTGGGTCCTGGGGAAGGTGGGGGTTCGTGTCCTCCGAGCTGCACAACGTTCCCTGCGATGGAAACTTGGGCTGCAACAATGTGCAACTTTCCACATTTTCCGTGTGTGTATTTGCATGTATTTTTAGCCACAAGTGTTCATTTCTTGCCAAAAAACCTGCTTAAATAAAACCAAGATTAATATTTTTACTGAACGGAAAGAGTCAGGACAGGCTTTGAACTGGAGACTGCTTATCTGGACCGGGAATGCATTTGAACGTCTGGCCTTGGCTTGAACATCAACAGGAGGGCCTCTGCGCAGCCGGCCAGCGGGGACATTGGCGCAGGAAGTGCGAACTGGGGGTGGGGGCAGGAAGTGGCCCAGGTTCAGCAGGCGCTGCCTTCCCAGGCTGCCCTGGACTCTCCAGATGCAGGATGGGCCACCCCAGCCTCAGGTCACCTCAGGGGCCACACCTCCACCTGCCCGGCACCAAGCCTGCTGCTGGCCCTGTCCCTGGCTCGCTCGCCACACCTCACACCTCCCTGGGAGCTATCTTTCTCCCCCTGGTCCCCGAGTTCAAGTTCTGGGGCCTCATCTGCCTTGGGATTCCTGGAAGTCGAGCCCAGCACTCCCTGCACAATGGACCCACAGATGTTTCTCTGAGCTCACGCTGAGACTCCCCTTAACCCATTTGTGTTCAGTAAGGCCTGGGGAGATACGGTTGCGGGTGACGCCTGCACAGAGTAACTCTCTGTGTTCCACCCTTGCCATGTGCAGTGCTCAATACACCATGTCACATTTGGCCTCATCCACAAAGCAAAAGGAATCAGACACCTTTATGTGCCAGGCCTGCCTCTGGCTGGCTGCTCTGAGTGGAGTGGTTGGCAGGACGGAACTGCCTAGTAGCTGAGGGAACTGGTACACACATACAGTCCTAGCCTCTCAAGAGGCTGAAGCAGGAGGATCTCGAGTCCATTTGAACACAGCCTGGACATCTTATTGAGACCCTATAAAGGGCTATTGGTATAGCTCAGTGTAAATTGCCCTTGGGTTCAACATCAAGTACTACCAGAAAAAAAAAAAAAATAGATAGAGATAGAACTGGTCTTGTGAAGCTTACAACTTAGTAGGGAGAGAGTCAGACCACAAGCATGTGACTGTGTTATGAGGGCAGGGAGACTGCAGGGTGGGAGTGGGACCAGGAAGGCCCCTGACCCTGTGAGAGAGTGGTGTGAGAAGGCCAACGGGGCAGAGGCCCTGGGGCATGAGTGGCCCAGAGCAAGCTGTGGTCTCCCCACGGAGCAGTCTCATCACAGGCCAGCGTCAGACCCATGTTGGCCTTGGGGAGCGGAGTGAGGTCGTGCAGAGCCTTGGGATTCCCACAGGCTCAGGTCCCTTCACTGTCTTCCCTGAGAGTGATTTGAGGGTCGACTCTTCTCAGATGGACGCGCAGTGTGGCAGCGGCGTGAGCTTCCATCTCACGTTGTGCTGAGTGCACGTTGGCTCATTCAGCTGATCAGCTGATGGGCTGTGGCTCCCCGGGTGGAGGGAGCCTCTCTGGGGTTTGTGGCTTTCCTGACAGTTGTGCTCGGCAGCAGTCAGCCACGGGCAGGCGGGGTGCGCTGTGGATCGTGTCACAGTTGGGGTATGTGAGCACGCGTGTGCACGTGCGGCCGGGTGTTCTGGAGCACTAGACGCACAGACCCAGGGTGCAGCAGGTGGTGGGTGGCTGCAGGGGCGGGCTCTGCCCTCTGGGCCAGCGGAAACAGAGTGCTAGTGACTTCAAGCCTCAGCCCTACCCGGGGGGGGGGGGGGGCGGCCACAGCCCCGCTCCCACCGGACCCTTAGAGTGTCAAGCAGAAGCATCCGACTCTCCCGGGTGGGGTGGGCAGACTGGGCCTGGAGCCTATGCACAGAAGGGGTTCGGCTCCCCAAACCAGCTGCACTGGCTGCGCAGCTGCTCAGCGCCTGGGCTGGTGCTCAGGGTGTGCACTTGACAGCCACTAGCTGTTCGGGGATGGAAGGAGGAGACTGTTAGGCCTACTTCTGGGGGTTCTCAGCGCCTGTGCCCCCAAGGACACACCTCTAGGTATGGCTGTAGGAGCTGCTTCTGCTCAACAATTTGCCACAGGGTCCTCTTCTGGACAGCAGGTGGCTTCATGCGCGTGGCGCAGCTGCTGGGGGCCCTGTCCAGCACACTGGGAGTGGGCAGACCTGTCCAGCTGGGCATCTGCGAGGCCAGCTTCTGCAGCCGGCACAGATGCCACCACCCCAGGGAGAAGCTGCCTGCCGCTGGCCCAGACTCTGAGTTGCTCGCCCTGTCCACAGCAGCCCCTGGCCAGTGAGCACCAGGACACTGGCTGACGGGAAGTACAGCGCAGCTCACACCTGGAGTTGTGGAGAAGCCAGAGCAGATGCAGGCAGGAATCCATACACAACGGTGGCCTGGGCTGGCGGGAGATGGGCCTCCATCTGGTTGGGAGCCCAGGTTGACTCTCGGTCCTGGATCAGGTTAGGGGAGCTGCGTGTCTGCCGGGAAGGCTCTGCATGGCCCTTGCCTGCCTGGACCATACACACTGTGACGCTGCTTGGTCCTCGAGGCCACTCTGGGCTCCCCATGGGTGACACAGATGATGCCTGAGGGGCTGCTCCTACCTTCCCTCTACCCCAGCTCCTCCACTTCCTGCCGGCTTCCTACTTCCTCCCACTGCAGTTCTGCAGGCCAGGATGCCCAGGCGGATGAGCCTGCCTTCCCCCAGTTCACAGGCGGAGGCTGCAGTGTCAGGACGGACAGCACCAGCTGCAGTCAGGAAGCAGTGGCGAGGCCAACAGTGTGACAGCAGCCAGTGGGCAGGGGACCTGGTGCTGCTCTGGGGACTCTTCCTCGACTCTCGCCTTCAAGGTGTGGGTTGGCATCAGTCGCCTTCCACAGGTGAGGAAGCCAGCCTGGGAGGTTCAGGAGCTCCAGTGTCCCATTGCACCAGGACCAGGACTGGAAGCTGCGCGTCCGGGCTCTTTAGTCCCTGGGCTTCCAGTTGTGAGAGGCATTGATAAGAGAGCCTGAGAGCCTGGCAGGGAAGAGCTGGAGCCAGAGATGGGGAAGCGCTAACCCCACGGTCCCTTTCTGTTATAGAACATCTGTGGTCGCTAAATTAAGCCCAGAGGTGAGGTTCCAAGGTCAGGCCACTTGGGGGTCAGAAAGGAGCTGGATGTTCCGTGGGCAGAGGCTTCCAGATACGCCAGCTTTGCTAGACAGGAAGGCTGAAAAGGCATCCAAGTTGGGTCGAGCCTTGTGTGAGCCAGGATGGGGCAGATGCTGCTATGTCAAGGTTGGACACCTCCTTGGTTATTTCCTGTGTTAAGGATGCACCAGCGAGGAGTTCAGGTCAACTCAGGAGGGCTTGCTAGTGGCACTGGGAAGATCTGCGACCTGCTGCCTACCTGGTCCTGGAGGAAGTGGTCCCTCGGTCTGGGACTCCAGCTTGATGCTGAGGATGGTGCCACAGTTGGCACTGAGGTGGGTGCAGGAGCAGGAGCGGGAGCTGGGGTGAGACAGGCTGGGGTCTGGCAGCCTCTCCCTAGAGCCTGGACACTGCTGTTTGCCTCCAATTTTGGTGAGCTCTGCCAATGAACCCTACGGTTCCATCCTGGCAGGGAGGCCCAGAGGGGCTGTGGATCCTCAGAGGCCAGGCCCCATGATGACCAGAAAAGGGGGAGCCCAGCTCAGCCAGGAGGAAGCCAGTGGACCAGGGAACTGGGTCTGAGTCAAGGTCAAAGATGAGTCAAAGAATTAGGAAATGCGTGGTGTGGGCAGTGGGTCTGTAGCAGCCGGGGGGGGGGCATGTGTGTGCATCAGTGCACAGGTGTGTGTGTTGTGAGGGAGGGTATTCTGTTTAACACTCAGTATTTTAGCTTCTTAGAAAGTGGATAGAACCAGGAAGTGTCCCTCCATGTCGAGGCGGAAGGAGAGGCAGCTCCAGGCCTAGAGCCTCCACCCCAGAACCAGCCCTCTGTCCCTAGGTCACTCTGACTGGTCTCCACTGTCCGCTGTCTGCACGCCCATCCCTGCCCCACGCTCCTTCATGTGCAGGCTTCATCGACCTGCGAGACTGTTCTTGGGTACCACGCTTCCCATGAAGCAGGGGCGGTCACCACCTCAGCCATCTCCAAGGCAACCCTTTGGGGAGCACTGGAGAGAATAAAGTCTGCCGACAGGCAGTGACTGCACCCTGGGCTGTGCCCGTGTCCTGGGATACGGTGCCCACACAGCCCAGAGACACTGTGTGTGCGGCACCAGGTGCCCAGTCCCGTGCTTGACCTGATGGCGCTGGTGTTTGTCTCATTTATCCCACATGAACTACACCTGAGACAGGTCAGGGCACCATGCTCAGCACCTGGGGCTCAGGAGACAGGCACCACTATGACACTGTCCTGCTCAGGACAGATGACAGTGACAAACTCACCCTGTCTTGGTAGCTGGGAGCAGCCAGGCCAGGAACGGAGTCCCACCCTCAGTAGGCATGGACCCACTGCCCACCTGTGGCCCAGGTTCTGGGTGCCAGGACTGGTCATGGGGCCCACAGATATGGAGACTGGTTGGTAGAGGCGGAGCTCTGGGTAGGTGGGCAGGAGAAGTTGGGGAGAAAGGGCGAGGCCTGGGGATGTGGCAACACAGAAGCAGCTTGAATCAGCTTGGGAACTGGTGAGGCTGCAGGCCAGGAACCTTGAGGGAGGGACAGGCGGATACCTGTGGAATACCCAGCAGGCCACCATGACCGCCTGGAAGGTGAACTTGGGGACAGCGGCCTCAGCTCCCCCATACCTTGCTGGGCTCTGCGTTCCTCGCTGCTGTCAATGATGTCATGGGTTCAAGTGGGCTTGGAGGGCAGCAGCGCCATGCATGGTGCTACTTTGCTGACTCCATCCATCTCTCCTGTGTCCACAGTGATCCGAGCCAAGGTGGTCGGGAAGAAGCTGGTGAAGGAGGGGCCCTTCGGCACCATGGTCTACACCATCAAGCAGATGAAGGTGCGTGTGCTCATGGGCCACTGATTGGGCTGAGGGGGACATGTGCCAGCCCTGCCACCCTCAGGTGATGGAGGGTCACATGGGAGGGAGGTGTTGGGGCTCAGGTTGAGACCCTCTCTTCCCTGGCCTCAGTCCACATAAAGCTGTAACAAAGTTGGCGCGCTTGTGAGCTTTTGGTGCTCCAGGGTAGCCTAGTCTGCTGCTGTCACCTCTCTGATGTCACACCCACCCTGTGCTGAGCCGAGGATCCAGGCTCCCAGGAGGACCCTGCTCAGGGAGGGGCCCCATGTTGCTCCCTCTTGGTTCTGATCCTGGCAGTGCAGTGACCCAGTGTCCCTGCGTGTTTACCTCATCACGCAATCACCGAGCACAGAGCCTCTAGGAAGCCCAAGAGAGCAGCCACATGGTCTGTCCTCTCCGCCCTGACCTTGGCCTCCTCCCTCTCCTGGCCTCAGTCTTGCCACCTGCTCACTGTGTAGGGTTGGGCTGGCATCCGAGAGTGTGGGCACAGGTGTCCAGAGCATCACAGCACAGGCAGTGCAGTCCCAGCAGCAGCTGGTGTCAGCTGCTATAGGGCACACTGGGTCTGGGTCAGCACTGAGGACTAGTATTGCTTCTCGCCTCCCCAACTTCCATGCCGCCCTACATCTAGGAATGGGTGGGTGCGAGGGGCTGCTGGCAAGGTCCGCCTCCTAATGGGATGCTGGGCCCGGAAAGCTGACAGCAGTGTGATGCAGAGGTCCAGGACAGGCACGTGGGTAGTGCACTCAGTCTTGCCTGCTGTGAGGACAGGCCTGCTGAGCTCTGGGGACCCGGGGACATTCGGCCTCTGGCTGGGGTCTCCCAGGGCTGAGCTGGTCCAGGGGCCATGTGAGGCCCGAGGCTGGAAGCCCTGACTCAGGGAGCCTGCTGCTGCGCATTCCATTCTGTACACAGCACGGCCTCCGGTTATATAACAGCCAGGACTATCCCTGGCCGGCTGCCACTGGCTGCCAAGCCGGTCATGAGACAGCATGTCTTTGTGGCCCTGCAAGGGTAGCATGGGTAGGGGAGGAGCCAGAAGGAGCAGCAGCACCCCCAAAACCCACCTTGCCACCTCTGGCAGCGGCAAGGAATGCCAGAGCCCGTGAGACCACAGCAGAGGCTGAGAACACGTTCCACCAGCTCCTGCTGCCCGCAGCTGCGCCTGGACACTCAGCACATATGGGAGGACAGCGAGAAGCCGGGCTAGCCTAGCTTTGCTCCTGACCCAAGGCCCTGGTGGCAGTGACTAGAGGCCTCCTGTGTGCACAGTCCCCTCACCTGGGGCACCCAGGCAGTGGGGATCCATCAGAGGACAGATGACATTTGCTGCCCCACCCATACCCCAGCACCCTGGGCCCTGGTGACAGCTCTGGTGCTGTCTGTCATGGTCCTGCCCATTGGACACAAACCCTGCATTTTCCCTGCAGAGGCCCAGAGCCGTGCATTTTACTGAGGGCAGTACTGGTGCCGCCTCTGTGTGCTCCCCACATGACACTTGGCCCTGCCTCCTCACAGACTCAGTGTTTGACCCTCAGAGCTGCTCCGTGCCCATCTGTCCCGGAAGTCCACCTGGCTGCCAGCCCCGCACAGCAGGGTAGCCCACCCACCCACCGTGCCCTAGCCCCAGGCTGGCATGGGTGGCCATGTAAAGATGACTGGTGTTCGCAGCAGCGCTCCACTAGACTTGACACTAGGGAGACGTGCGCTGTGCCTGCCTCTCTGGAGATGCACTGGGACGTGCAGGGCAAGGCCATCCTGGGTGCTCTGGCTGGACAAGGCGGTTGGGAGCCCACGGGAGGTGGCGGCATCGGCTGGTGAGGCTTGCCCCTCGGCCCACCTGTGTCCAGCTCCTGGGGGAGCGAGGTGTGGAAGCAACAGCCACTCTGGTAGTGCAGCAGCCCGCCCAGCCTGGAAGCAGCTGAGGTGCTGCGCAGCCCGGGAAGAGCCCTGGCCCTGGCCCGTGGGAACTCTGTTCCTGGGGCAGACGCTGCCCCAGGAAGTCTGAAGAGGGCTTCTCCTCGCAGGGCTGGAGTGTGGAGCAGCAGGCAGCAGGCAGCCACCTCTCCCCCTCCCTGCCCTGCAGTACCGACCCCTCCAGAGCACACCCTGGGTGCATGTTGCAAGCCAGGCATAGAGACCAGCTGGTGCTCAGGCACTGGGCCATGCTGCAGTGATGATGGACGGTTCCGGAACCGGCTGCGCTAATCTGTAGGACCTTATCTCCCATTGGGGCCATGGGAAAGCCGTCTGCTCTGCCAGGAGCTGTTGTTTGCGCAGTGGAGATATGCTCGTGGGCAGGCTTCAGGGCTGCACGTGGGGGACATCATGTCCCGGCTGGTCCCAGGAGGATCCCAGGGAACATGTCCCGTCACATGCTCTGAAGGTCCTGACCATGGACAGAACAGCTTTGCTGGCCCTGCCCTGGTCATTTTAAGTAAATAAATAAGCACCATCAGGTCTCCTCCAGCTGAGAGCTCTCCAGCCCCCCACCCCCAGTGGCTCCTGTCTGCCTCCTCAGACCCTCAGCATGGTCCCAGACCCTGATGGGGAGCAGCCACCTTGTCACAGGACCGAGCTTGTGCTGGCAGTGTCCCAGGCACATACTCAGTGTCCCCACAGCTCAAGAGACCTGGAGATAAGAGCAAGTGGTGGATTCTGCGAGCTCTTGACACACAGCACACGGAGAGCTGCACCTTTCTGTGGGCACGCAGGAAGTACCTGGTACGGGGCACAGGCCAGGTTCCTCACAGGAACTGCACCATGGGCCGGGCTCAGGGGCAATTCTCCTGCACGGTGCATCCCCCACCCCAGAGAAGCAAGCTTCCTGGGGCTTCCCCTTCATACCAAGAAGGGGACTCAGGCATGCAGAGTCTGCCAGGGGAGGAGCCCCTGTGTGCCTGGAGGTCCCCACCTGGTTGGCAGCAGGCACAGCTAAGGCTGGCCGCAGCCTTCCTGCCTGTCTGAATTTGAGGATACGTGACTTCAAACTAATTTTTCAGCACACATTGGATTCTGTGTGCCAGGTACTATTTACCGTCATTTATTTCACTGGAGTCCAAAAAATTAGGTAACTTCCCACGTGCCTGGTCAGTGGTGGGGCCTGCTGTACCCCAGTTGGGCCTGGGAGTCTTAGCACCATTCCTTACTGTGAGAGCCTAGGACGCCTGGAAGCTGGAGCCCTGGAATCCGTTCCAGCCTCCCAGGAGGCAGAAACAAGGCTGCTGTGCCCCTCAAGCACCAAGGCAGAGGCCCCAGGATTCTGTGGGTCCAGCAGACAGTTTTGTGATGTTACCACCCACCCCACCAGCAGCTGCCACTTAGAAGACAGAGGAAACCCCATCAGACTGGGTGGAGGCCTGGGTGAGATGCACATGGTGCCACCCACTCTGTTTGCCACCACCTGAAATGAACCGCGCATACCAGGGGCCTGTGGAGACCATGCCCTATCATACACCTTTGTACAGACCCAGAGGTCTCTTGACGCCTGGGCCAGGCCTGGGTGCCACTCCACCTGCTGGCTCACGTGGTCACGCTGCTGCCTCGGCAGATAAGGGCCTGTGCATCACTTGTCACCAACACAACAGGGCTCTGAGCAGACACAGAATGGAGCCACAGGGCCAGAGATGGAACTGGCCTCTGCTGGCCCAGCTTCTGAGGCCTCAGGGCCACAGCGCAGGAGCAGGGACTCTTGGTCTCAGGCTTGTGACCCTCCTCTGCCCCTTGCTGGCTTTGTGGCCTCACATAAGCTTCTTGAGTGGTTTGAGGCCCCAGGCAAACAAGGAAGTGGATGCTTTTACAGTGGTTTCTCTGAATTTCAGGAAAGGTACTGGAATTTGAGGATCATGCAGCTGGGGCCTGCTGAGGGGCAGCTGGGGTGGGGTGCAGCTGGCTGGGCAGGAGGGCTCCCCTTTGGGGTCCTGGCGCAAGCAGGTGGTGGCAAGCTCCAGGCAGGGTTCTTCTCATGATGTTCCACCCTCTGCCTGCAGATGTACCGAGGCTTCACCAAGATGCCGCATGTGCAGTACATCTACACGGAGGCCTCCGAGAGCCTCTGCGGCCTGAAGCTAGAGGTCAACAAGTACCAGTACCTGCTGACAGGTGAGGCCCATGACTGCTGCACCACATGGGGTAGGTAAGGTGTGGTGGGCAGGCAGTGCCCGAGAGCATCAGCCTTGTGCATGTCCTGCCTGCTGGGGCCTGAGACTCCTGCACTGGGACTCAGCTCTGGTCTTCCCTTTGCCCTAGCCCTTGCTTTTCCTTATGTGCACAGGAGTGGCCTTTGGTGCCCACCTTACAGCCTCCCTGCCCCTCCCAGTGACCCACCAGTGGGTGCTCAGCACAATAAGGGGAAGCCACGGCTGTAAGGAGCAGACCTGGTCATCTGGGGCTTCGGAGTCCTGTGGGAAGTGGGCCACGTTCCAGCTTGCAGGGGTCAGGAAGGTGGTACACAAGACAAACACAGGGCGGGGCCACCGTCCTCCCCTGCTTGGCCACGACATGCCCGCTCTCCCCTTCCATAGGCCGCGTCTATGATGGCAAGATGTACACAGGGCTCTGCAACTTTGTGGAGCGGTGGGACCAGCTCACTCTCTCACAGCGCAAGGGGCTCAACTACCGCTACCACCTGGGGTGCAACTGCAAGGTAAGTGGGCAGCGGGGCCAGGGCATGGATGCCCTTGTGTGGGCATCTGCTGGGGCACCAGGGCTCTTCAGGGTCCCCTAGCCCCTGGGGGCTCTGAGCAGTGGCAGGAACAGGAGATCCTCAGGCCACAGGTCCTGTCAAGCAGCCCCAAGAGCATTCACCCTGGGAGGGGAGCCCAAGATGGCCCACCTTCAAGTAGCCCCAAGCCCTTAATCCTCACAACCACCTTGCAAACTCTGAATTACTGGGAGTCCCACTGTACAGATAAACAGAGGCTCAGCTTAAGTCGCCAAGTGTTAGGCTGCTGAGTCCAACCTCCAGCCCAGGGCAGCTGGATGCTAAGCTGATGCTTTAATCCTGCCAATTCCTCAACTCCCTACAATGGCAGAGGTCTCCCCTCTGCGGCTAGCGAGCTGCTTGCCAGCCATATGACTGCAGCATGTCCCTAGACCTGGGAGGGAGCGAGGCAGACTCACAGTGGCACTCAGGCAGTACCAGCTGCTTTTGCTTCTGCTGCTAAGGAGCCCATGGGGTGGGCACCCCTGCAGTGGTCGCGGGTCCAAGTCCAGGCCGGGCAGTTCCAGGCCTGGGCCACCCTGGCAGAGCCCGCTGAGTGCCGGGTGGGTCTTGTTGCAGATCAAATCCTGCTACTACCTGCCCTGCTTTGTGACCTCCAAGAACGAGTGCCTGTGGACCGACATGCTCTCCAACTTTGGCTACCCGGGCTACCAGTCCAAACACTACGCCTGCATCCGGCAGAAGGGTGGCTACTGCAGCTGGTACCGGGGCTGGGCGCCCCCAGACAAGAGCATTATCAATGCCACGGACCCCTGAGCCCACCCCATCCTCCGTGCCCCTCCCTCCCCGCTGAGCTCCCCTCGGACACTAACTCTTCCCAGATGATGACAATGAAATTAGTGCCTGTTTTCTCTCAAATTTAGCACTTGGGACACGTAAGAAGTCTGTGCTGTCCACAGAGTTGATCCGGAGCTCTCCTCCCAGCCCCCTAACCCTTCTCTCTTTGCTTTTGACATCACCCGTTTTCACCCTGGGGATTTCTGGCCTCCTGCCGGAAACAATGAGGAATGTAGACGCCTCTTCCTTGTGATATATAATCTATATTTTTTTAGGAAAACAAAAATCAAAAAATCTACCCTCTTTTGGCCACTGTAGCAGCTCCTCCTCTTCCTGTTTCCTGCTTGACCTTCCCCCGCACCCACAGCACATAGAGGACGCAGACAGGAAACTGCGGAAGCTGACTGCTTCTGGGTCAGTCTGAGCAGCCAACAGCTAGACTCCAGGTAGGCGGAAGAGCTCGTACCCGAGGAGACACTGCTGCACATCCCAGAAGGCCTGTCTGTGTCTGCCTGCCCTTCAGTGCCGGCAGGGTACAGCACAGCCCCGCCATGACACTGGGCTGCCCGACTGTTTCTCAGTCTGGGGCAAGTTCTGGCCAGAGGCACAGAGCTAGCTCAGGCGTCAAGACAGAAGAATCTAAGGCCAGCAGCAGCCTGCCTCATGCAGCTGGAGTGAGAGGCCTCCCTTTCCCTACGAGCCCCTGGCCACGCGAGGGAGGCCCGACCCGCGTGAGGTGCCAGTGTGTGAAGCGGGAGACACACACCCTGTACCACCACAGACAGGCAGCTGGGCCTGGGGAGGGAATGCCTTTCTGAAGTAGTGTGTAGCTCACAGGGGACGTGTCTGTGTCCACACCTGCACAGACCTATGTGTGGGGACATAAGCTAAGTTTCTGCAGGACACAGAGTTCTATTGACTGCTGTTAAATATACCAATAGTTTAATCTCCTCAACTTTGTTGCTGTTGCTTGCTGGATGAAAACCGTGACATTCCAAGTTGACTTTTTTCATTTTAATTAAAAACTGAGATTCTGAGTACCCTCGGCACCCTCTTTTCCCTTTACCTGGGGCACCCTGACTTCCCCTTTTCTTCTGCTTCACCTTTGGGGGCCTTCACTTAACTGCCTTACTGGCCTGGAGGGACGGCAGGTGACAAGTTCTGTGGGCCAGCACCCTTTGTCCAGGAGGGACCCCAGAGTCCAGCCTCAGCTGGAAGGCCGCCTCTCCCCCAGGCCCAGGGACAGCCTGCTCCCCTCCCTGCATCCCTGGCTGGTGATGCCGCCTCCTAAGGTCCTCGGCCCGCGGAGTGACACGGGGTGGTCACTCGGGAGGCCTGACTGCAATCAACTGTAGGATTTTGTTTTTTTTTTTTAAAAAATAAAACTATAATATAAATCCTCCTATTAAATAAAAATATTTTAAGTTTCAGTGTCACAGTGAGATGCTGAGAGTGACAGTGTATCTATTACTGAGCTGGGGATGATAGGACGCTGACATTTAACACGCCTGCTGTCTCCTTTCCCAGACTTGGGGTACTTCTCCCCTGCTAGTGTTCAGATCTTTAGTTCACTGTATTTTAGGTGTCAGAACTGTCAAGTGAAGAAAAGGGAAAAGACACAGACAAGTCCCAGTGACGCATGCACGCACGCCCCGCCAGGGCCAGTATGGTCTCGACGCGCCTCAGGACTGGTCCGAGAACCTGCTCACCTCCCTGTGGGCTGCACTGGACCAGGGGAAGTGGGATGTGTGGTCTCTATAGGTGGGGGCAGAAGGAGCCCAAGTCTGCACCCCAGGAGTTTAGGCGTGAGCCCCAGACCTGGTGCTTGGGACTGCCTTTATTTCAACCTGAGTCCGCACGGTGGAGCTCTACCTGACCCACACAAGTGCTCTCCCCTGTGGGCACCAGCGTGTCTCCTCTGAGGCACCTGGCCATTGCTGGCCCCGGGACAGCCCCCATCCCTGCCCCACAGTGAGGCACTTGAGGCAAAGCCTGGGCACAAGTCACCTGAAGCCTCCGAACTGCAGAGCAATAGCCAGTGGAGCTGTAGCCCAAACCGAAGGGCCTCTGCACAGTGACATGTCGGAGGGCAGGCCTGGAGCTTTCTACAAGCAATAGCTTTGTGTATTTCACCTGCTCACTCACTGTATAATTTAAAGTCATTTATGTAGCTGAGACACTTCTGTACCACAATCATATCGTGAATGTTTTATTTTGCTAAATCTCGTGTCATGCAGGCTGCAATACACGCACATTGTGTCTAAGAGAGAAAAAGTGGTGTCCACATGCGGCGTTTTCCTGACTCAAATTCTGCGGGGGGGGGGGGGGAAGGACTTCTCCTGGGCAGGCAACGAGACTGGCACAGTGTGGGGACTAGAAGGCGCAGAGATGGCTTCTTCCCTACGCAAACCGCAGGTATTCCCCAAGTACAGAGGGCGGAAAAACACAAAATATGCTCTTGCTTTATGACAGTTGGCCTGGGACACAGGTGGCCTCCTCCCCCTTCCGCTCTCCAGGTCCTTCCCTCCACTTGACCAGGAAGCTAGGATTTCTCCTAAAAGTCCAGGGTCGTGTGAACTGCGACCCTGAGTTCTCTTTGCTTCCTCTGGGCATTTCTGCTGCCTGCAATCAAGGAAGCCACACACCCAGGCTCTTGTCTATCAGGCCAGTGGTCTGTGATGGCCAGGAGGTGATGCTGAGGCCCTGTGCCTTCCAGCTGCAGCCCAACAGGCCTCACCATGACAGCCATAGCCCACAAGCACCATTTTTCATAGCATGGCTCCTGAACACTGCAAGAAGCCAACAACCTCTTTGAACAGCTCTTCTGGGAGGTCCTGTGGCCCCCGGAACAGGACCCCGCCCTGCCCTGGCCTTCCCTTTCATCTGTGCATGCTGACCAGCAGTGCAGATCACCCGTGAGGGCACTTGAGTATGTGGCTCCTGGCTACCTAAAGCAAAGACATCACTGGAGCATGCGCCTCAGAGAGAAGCGGCCTCAGAACCTAACAGCAGACGCACCACAAAGGCATCATGGAGGGGTGGGGAGCAACCACCTTGAAATGGGCTCTTTGTGGGGACGGGGAAGGGAAGAGGTTGGAAATGTCCATGTGTTGGGGGAGGGCTCCCCAGAGTTCCCAGCCCACCCTTCCCTCCAGCCAGTCTGCACTGCCAGGACCCAGAAGTGACGGAGAGAAACCAACCAGAGAAATCCTGTTTAGAAAGAATGTATTTGTTGCTAAATTCTGTAGCACTGTTTACAGTTTTCCTCCATGTTATTTATGAATTTTATATTCCGTGAATGTATATTGTCCTGTAATGTTGCATAGTGTTCACTTTTATAGTGTGTCCTTTATTCTAAACAGTAAAGTGGTTTTATTCCTATCACACACCAGCTGTCTTGCCTCATTATGTTCCGATGCCTGGGGGGGGGGCGGTGGGCCACCCTGCCTGCCCGCGCCCCAGACCCCCTCCTGAGAACTTCACCTGTCCTGCCTCTGCTCCGATTTCACTGCCAGGGTTTCCTAGCTCTGCAGCTCCTGGATCTCTGCGTAGCTACCCCGGGGTGATACATGTTCCCCCAGACCTGGCTCTTACTCAGCCTCCTTGTTTGCCTCCTAAGAATCCCACTCTGGTGGTGCCAGGAGAGAGGTGTATGGATGGCAGCCCTCAGTGTGGTCGCTTGCTGGAAATTCCGAGTGGAGCTCAGCCTGGCTGGGAATGCCAGGGATTCCTGAGGCCCAAGAACAACATGCAGGCCCCTCCCAGAATCCATAGCCAGGCCTGTCACCTGGCACAGGACAAACATCCGCCCGTCAGCCTGCCCTTCACACTGTTCTTGCGCACCGCTCACGAGCCAGGCGTGGCCTCGCATGCAGACCGGAAGAGGCCATCCTCTCTGTGCAGTGCGGCAGAGCCAAACAGATGAGGGTGTTGGGGGGATGCGGCATGTAGACAGAGCTGCTCTCCAGCTCAGGCTGGCCTGAGGAGAAGCCCTGAGCTCTTGCCATTGCAAGGGTGCTCTACTGGCAAACGCTGGTACCCTTTGCATGTGCCCTTCGGACGCCACCAGCACAGACTAGAATCTGTGACTGTTACCAGTTCGGGACAGCCGGTGGGGACCTGCACCTGGTGAGACTGCTCCCTTCCTTCAGTCCAGCTGTCAGCGCCCCCACACAGCACTGCCCAGCCCAGCAGCCTGAGCTTCAACCATGCAGTCACAGCCACCAACCGAGACTACAGGACGCCTGAGTGTTACCACTTCCATATTCCCTGGACGTCCAAGGCCACAGCCCTGCGTCCCTTGGACCTGTTTCAGACTGCTAGCCACACAAACGCGCATACTGCAGACTGCTTCCAGCTGCCCAGAAAGCCCCTACCAACTCCCAGCTAGGGCAGGGAGCTCTCTACTACACCGAACAAGGCCAAGTTAACCCGCTGTGTCCACAGCTCCTGAAGCAGGAGGCCAAGCTGCAGACTCCTCGCTAAGTCCAGCAGCATCCTGGAGACAACCTCAGGCACACGCACGGCAGGACTGGAAGGTGTGAGAGCACACAAACCCAGCACCCCTCAGTGGTCAGCACAGACACAAGGTGCTACTTTCATGAAAGCGGCGAGTTAAGCCAGGTCCCAGGAAGGGAGCCACGCAGTGTGCTTCCTTTCTGTCACTTCCACTCCAGCGGCTGGCCACAGCTATCCCGATTTGCCAACAACTTCCAAAGTCCCAAGGAATGCAGCCCCCTTTGTCACCTGCCCTGCTGCCCAAATGTCCCCTGGAGAGGGACCTCTGTCTCAGCAGAGCCAGGAGCCCTCACCTGACACTGAGCCTCTTCCCCACAGCCCAGGAGATGAGGGAGTGGCAACCCTGAGCCGCCTCCTCTGTCCACAGCGACCAGAGACACAGATCTGATACTCATTCCGCACGGGAGAGGACACAGGAAAACAGGCACTCACCATTGGCTTGTGGTTGGGGAAGAAGGTCTGCTCCACGAGCGGGAACTTCTCGGGGCCCAGGGTGTGGAAGATCTTGATGAGCTGGGAGAACTGGGATGGAGAGGAGGAGCGCTCAGGCAGCTGCGCCACCGCCCGCCGTGGGGAAGCTGCCTCTGCGCCCTGGGCTTCTGGCGCCCTTCTGCGCCCTTCCTGCCCCAAGGATAAAGGCCAGCTTCCCTGGCTAGACATCGGTCCTCTACCTGGTGCAGCTGCGTCTACGCCTCCATTTCTACCTGACCTTGAAGGTGGGCAGAACACTGGTTCAGCTGAACCACAGACTGAGTGCCTGGCCGATTGCAGTACCTGGGATTGCAGTGCCAGGGCCTGCAAACCCCAGCCTGACAGGGTCCTGCCAGGTTGCTAAATTGCCAGGGCTGGGGTCAAACTTTTAATATTCCTGCCTCAGCCTGTCAGTGCTGGGGCTACAGGGTGCACCATCATGCCAGGTTTTCAACTACATCTAACAAGCACTTACTGCACCCTCTGCATTCCACACGTGGGGTTCCTTCCTGTGCACACAACCTACTGGTACTTGTGCCAGCTCCACCCGCAGCGCCTCTTTCCAGAGAGCGAGCCCTGTGGGGCAGTGGATGATGCAGACTCTGGACCCACTCCCTGGTTCAAATCCTTGCTCTGACCCACCAGCTGTGTAACTGGGAAGCCACTCGCTGCAGGTTTCTGAGCCCAGTGTTCTCACTTGCAAACTGGGCATGATGGGGCCCCTGTCTTGGCAGATTGGGGGGGTGTGCTAAACACACGCCCAGTCCGTGGTCACCTGGGTGATGTCACTTTCTCTGCTTTACAGCAGCTCCCTGCTGCCTCTGCCTCCCTCTACCCCCACTTATGCTCCTCCTCTCCGTGCACCTCCTGCAAGAATGTGTCAGGGAGACAGCCCATCCCCCACTGCTGAGCACCCCACACCTTGCTTGAAGGCTGGAGAGCAGCAGGGTGCAGTGCGCTAGGCATGGAAAGCAGGCTAGAGGAATCATGGAGTGGGGGTAAAGGAACCCAAGAGAACCCAAGAAGAGGGGTGCCTGCAAGGAGTGTGGGGAGACACGTATGTGCACACATGGTCATGGCCTCAGGTGCAGGGCACAGTGAGAGCAGAGGTTCATACACCCTAGAACCTTCCAAGGCTGGTGCAGGAGCTCTCGGTCCCCGAGAAGAGGAGGGGAGGAGCCAGTGGGCCCAGGGGAGGGGGGCTGCTCCAGGATCCCTCTGAACAATGGCACTGGGCTCTGCGCCCTGAAAAGCTCAGAGCAAATCTGAGGGGACCAGCGTGGTCAGGCAGTAAAGGTCATCCACACCTCCAGATCAGCATGTGTACACATCGGCAAGTACCCAGAGCCAGAGCACAGGCACGAAGGGCGAGATGACTGGTGCCCTGTATCAGAGGTGCCCTTTTTGCCACCTCTATTATGGGCACGTCACATGCACGGACTCAAACCCCACCAGGATGGCACTGTTACTGCTCCCTTGCCCTAAACTAATAAATTGAGTTCAGGATGCCAAGCAGGTTGGCCAAGGGTACACAGATCATAGTAGAGGGACCCAGGTGTCCCCCATGGCAGGTACCATAGCACATCGTGATGTAGGTGAGTGCCTTGTGTGTGTCCCAGCCTACAAGAATGTGCGGTCTGGAACGGGCGGGCCTTTGGCCTGGCTTTTTCATGCTGTGTCCCCAGGGCTCTGAACAGCACCCGAGGCCCTGGAAGTGCCTACAGATGGGTGCTGCATGATGGAATCCTCTCTAGGTATGGAGACAGGTGATTTGTATTGGATGGACCATGCTCTGGTGCAGGGGAGCATTTGAGGGTTCGAGGGTATAGGGAGAAGAGAGCTAGTATTTTAGGAAAAGTCTCTTTCATAGGTGACACCTGGGCGGAAACAAATCAAATGAGTAAAACCAATGAGAGGGGGAGGGATCAAGTCACTGAAGTTGGAGAGAAACACTTCAAGTTCTGGCCATCAAGATCCATTGAGTTTACTGGCCATGATGAAGCTCACCTGCCTTCCCTGTGCCATGAGGGATGGCACTCTATCACATGACAGTAATTACATGGGTACTGGTATGCAGATAGTGCTCAATAATTAACACCCATTGTGGTACACAAAAAGTTCACTAGTATGGTGGCTCTCTGAGACCAATCTTATGCTGTGTTACTATGTAAATTTTGTTAAACAACAATTCCATGGGAATCCCATGGCCCAAGTTGCTTAAATTCAGGTTGGTGTTGGGTAGGAAAGGGTTGCTATGGCCTCTCATCCCCCCAGACCGGCCTGGTCAGGTACCTACCACCCAGGGCTTGCTGCAGAAGTTGTAGACAGAGTAGAGCGAGTTGACAGCAGGTAGCCCCCCATACTGCAGGCCAATGACCAGGCTGCGGTAGTCCTCCCCAAGTGCCATACTGTAGGCATGCTGGCGGACCAGGAGGAAGTCTGGCTTGAAGGACCTGCAGAGAGAATGTTGACAAGGTCACTCACAGGCTGCCCAGGGAGCCCTCAGCTCAGGGTGGGAGGTGGGGCATGCCGGAAGAAAGCTGGAAACAAACTCGGGCTGCTCATCTGCATGGTTAAGGGGCTGCAGACACCATGCACATGTCTGCCAGGTTTCTAATGTCCTGCACTGAAGAGCTGCCTCATGTGCAATCCAAACAAGGCATGTCAAATACAGCTCAGTGAGTCAAGGGGTCTTCACCAGCCTCAGGTGCCACATGAATCACGTGTATCCTGCAGCAAGAGCAGCTGCCTGGGGGTGCACTCTGCTATCAGCTCCAGGTCAAGCAGCCAGCAGTGGCAGGGCCAGGCCTGTGCCTGCACTGGCTCCCACACCACCCTGGACCACACATGTCCTGTTCCTGCCAAGCAGCAGCCTCCACAAGGGTCCAGGGCACCAGGGGCTGTACTGGGGATCTGTGTGGACTTCCACACTGCACAGCTGGAAGCCTGGCAGCTGGGAGAAGCTATGGTTCTCTATTCCGGGGTGGGAGGGAGCTGCCTTGGAATTGTGGGCAGTGGGGGCAGGCCACACTCTGTGTCAGCACGTGGCTCCTGCCTCATCCACACCATCAAGGGTCAGGCTGTTTGCAGGTTCTTCACTTCTAGAGCACACACAAACCCAGCCCCACTGTCTGTGTGAAGTGTGGGCTCCACATGCTGGGACCAGACCTCCAGTGTATCCAGAGCTGAGGCCTCCCTTTTGGGGCACTCAATGCCAATCAAAAGGATGCTGCACAGGGAGAAGGGTCCCCAGCATGCAGGAGAGGAGCATGTTGCCCTGACCTCAGCTCTCTTCACAGCCCCAGCATCTGCTGCCCCCAGAGCAGGAGTGTAAGAGAGGAACAGCCTGACACTTCATCCATGTGCATCACCCTCACCAGCATAGGGAAGACAGGCACCAACCCGCCCAGCTGCGCCTCCTTCCCAGGGCCCCGTCACATGTGGGACCAGTCACCGCCAAGTCACTGTAAAGGTAAGGGACTGAGTTGGGAGGACAGCAGCACACAGGAGCAGGAAGACAGGCAGTGTGTGTGTCCCTAGCAGGGTGACAGCCACAAGGGGCGACTGCAGTATAGCCCTTGCCGAGCTGAGCAGATTGTAAATGCAGTGCCAGAAAAGTTCCCTGGAATGTGCACCATGTAAGCAAAGCACTCAGACAGGCAACCTGGAAAACACCTGACGCCTTCAAACACACACTGGCCAGTCCTCTGTTTTCTCTTTTTCTTTTTTTTAACTATTAACTCACATGTAATATAATTTTTTTCCATAATCTTATCGAGAAACAAATAGCAATGAGACAGTTTCATACCAAATTGGTAGGACAGTTTCAATAATTCACACATTGCATACATTCTTCCTAGTGGTTCATTGCTGTACAAGATGCGGACATGATATCCTATTTACAAACACCATCAGAACAAATCCCTCTATTCATTAAGAGAATGTAACTATATATCTATCCTAGCCACTTTGAATACACAGATACAAAATGGACAT